ATGTGTGTGTGTGTGTGTACAGTGTGTGTGTGTGTGTGTGTGTGTGTACAGTGTGTGTGTGTGTGTGTGTAGTGTGTGTGTGTGTACAGTGTGTGTGTGTGTGTACAGTGTGTGTGTGTGTGTATGTGTACAGTGTGTGTGTGTGTGTGTGTGTGTGTGTGTATGTACACTGTGTGTGTGTGTGTGTGTGTGTGTACAGTGTGTGTGTACAGTGTGTACTGTGTGTGTGTGTGTGTGTGTGTGTGTGTGTGTACTGTGTGTGTGTGTGTGTGTGTGTGTGTGTGTGTGTACAGTGTGTGTGTGTGTGTGTGTGTACGTGTGTGTGTGTGTGTGTACATGTGTGTGTGTGTGTGTGTACATGTGTGTGTGTGTGTGTGTGTGTGTGTGTGTGTGTGTGTACGTGTGTGTGTGTGTGTATGTACAGTGTGTGTGTGTGTGTGTGTGTGTGTGTGTGTGTGTGTGTTTGCTCTGGACAAAACAGGAAATCACCGCTCCTACACTCACACAGTTTCAATTTGAGCTCAGTTAAATTTTCACTTTTTTGAAAGATGAATATAAAAGCAGATTTTTTGATAAACTTTGTGATTACAGGTTTGCAGTTGCAGTTTGAAATTTACTATGAAATCGTATTTTAAATCTTTTTTTTTTTTTTTTTTTTTTTTTGTTCCCCGTGTCCTACAGCAGCGGTGTCAAACTCCCAATTCACAGAGGCCAAAATTAAAAACTGGGACTGAGTTGTGATTCAAACTAAATGTTTATTGAAAAAAACATCTGCTTGTTTTCTCTTCTTTTGAAATATGTAATGTTTTGTAAAGCTTTTCTTGTTAAAATAAATGTTTAATAATAATTTTGCTTAAACACTGAATCCAGAACAAGCAGAATATAAAATAATAACAACATTTTGGTAACACTTTATCATAACTACACCTTATTTAACCTTAATAAAGCATGAACAAAGGCTTAATTAATAATGAACAAAGACTTAAGTAATAATGATTCACGCTTAGTAACTACTTAATTACTACCTTAATTCGCACTTGCACTTCATTTGCCTGGGCTGTAAATAGTTACTCATAATTATTTCATACTTAATTACTCATGAACTAACCATCTGAGCATTTATTAATCATTAGTAAACTATGACAGAATGATTTACTAATAATACAATGATCATTCAGGCAGCTGTTATCTGTTAAAGTCTTTCTGAGAGCTTTTCTAAAGTGAAGACGAATTATGCTTTATTAAACATTTACTAAGCGTGAATCATTATTAATTAAATCTTTGTTCATTATTAATTAAGTCTTTGTTCATGCTTTATTAAGGCTAAGTAAGGTGTAGTTATTATAAAGTGTTACCAACATTTTAAATAAATAATGTGTCTATAGTCGATCTGTAGCCGATGGACAGCTCTAATACAAATGTGATATGATCTCGCTGGACAAATATAATTATATCACGGGCCAAATTTGGCCCCCGGGCCTGAGTTTGACATGTCTGGTCTATATCTGTAAATGATGGTCTGGGAAGATTCTCTCCTTACCTGATATGAACAAAATATGTAAGCAGCACAACAAGAAACTTAGAAACCTGGACATATTTGTTTACACCTGGTTCAGTTTAGTTTAGTCCTGGTTCAGTCCTGGTTTAGTCCTAGACCTGGTTTCAGTCCTTTGGTTCCAGACCTGGTTCAGTCCTGGGACCTGGTTCAGTTCCTGGTTCAGACCTGGTTCAGTCCTGGTTCAGTCCTGGTTCAGTCCTGGTTTAGACCTGGTTCAGTCCTGGTTCAGTCCTGGTTCAGTCCTGGTTCAGACCTGGTTCAGTCCTGGTTCAGTCCTGGTTTAGACCTGGTTCAGTTTCCTTGGTTTCCTGGTTCAGTCCTGGTTCAGTCCTGGTTTCAGTCCTGGTTTAGACCTGGTTTCAGTCCTGGGTGGTTCAGTAGACCTGGTTCAGTCCTGGTTCAGTCCTGGTTTCAGACCTGGTTTCAGTCCAGGTTTAGTCCTGGTTTAGACCTGGTTCACCTGGTTCAGTCCTGGTTTCAGTTCCTGGTTCAGTCCTGGTTTAGAGTCCTGGTTCAGTCCTGGTTCAGTCCTGGTTTAGACCTGGTTCAGTCCTGGTTCAGTCCTGGTTTCCAGAGTCCTGGTTTCCAGTCCTGGTTCAGTCCTGGTTCAGACCTGGTTTCAGACCTGGTTCAGTCCTGGTTCAGTCCTGGTTTAGTCCTGGTTTAGACCTGGTTCAGTCCTGGTTTGGTCCATGCGGCGCTTTGGCATCATGACGTTTTCGGTCGACTCCATTGGACACCGCAGCTCGTCTAAACAAGTATTTTTTCAGCTGTTTTTATTTTTTTTTTTAAATCAGTAAATACAATTCATATTATGCAAAATTGCGTTAAAAATTTGGCTTCCACAATATTTTCTGTTTCTCTTGTGACCCCGTGGGAAAAACAATTGCCCCTGGATCAGAAGTGTAGAGACAAACACAAACCCTGTTGTATGTCAGAGTCCTGCGCCGGGTCGGGGTCAGAGTCCTGCGCCGGGTCGGGGTCAGAGTCCTGCGCCGGGTCGGGGTCAGAGTCCCGCGCCGGGTCGGGGTCAGAGTCGCGCGCCGGGTCGGGGTCAGAGTCCCGCGCCGGGTCGGGGTCAGAGTCCCGCGCCGGGTCGGGGTCAGAGTCCCGCGCCGGGTCGGGGTCAGAGTCCGCGCCGGGTCGGGGGAGGTCAGAGTCCCGCGCCGGGTCGGGGTCAGAGTCGCGCGCCGGGTCGGGGTCAGAGTCGCGCGCCGGGTCGGGGTCAGAGTCCGCGCCGGGTCAGGGCCAGTTATAGTCCACTTTTAATGCAGTTATAGTCCTAATGTAGACCCAGTTTAGTTGAGTTTTAGTCTTAGTTTAGTCCACTTTTAATCCAGATTTAGTCCAGTTTTAGTCCACTTTTAATCCAGACTTGGTCCAGTTTTTTAGTCCACTTTTAGTCCTGGTTTAGTCCACTTTTAATCCAGACTTAGTCCAGTTTTAGTCCACTTTTAGCACAGTTTTAGTCCAGTTTTAGTCCTGGTTTAGTCCAGTTATAGTCCTGGTTTAGTCCACTTTTAATCCAGTTTTAGTCCAGGTTTAGTCCAGGTTTAGTCCAGTTTTGGTCCAGTTTTGGTGCAGTTTTGGTGCAGTTTTGGTGCAGTTATAGTCCTAATGTTCACCCAATTTAGTCCAGTTTTAGTCTTAGTTTAGTCCACTTTTAATCCAGACTTAGTCCAGTTATAGTCCAGTTTTAGTCCTGGTTTAGTCCTGCTTTAGTCCAGGTTTAGTCCAGTTTTAGTCCAGTTTTGGTGCAGTTTTGGTCCAGTTTTGGTGCAGTTATAGTCTTAATATTCACCCAATTTAGTCCAGTTTTAGTCTTAGTTTAGTCCACTTTTAATCCACACTTAGTCCAGTTATAGTCCAGTTTTAGTCCTGGTCTCATCTCATTAGTTTCAAAGAACAGAATTTTTTTTGGTTTTGTTGTTTTTCGGTTTTATTTTGGTCCGAGAGGCTCTAAACCCACGGCCCAGTGTCACACCTTCTCTATTTTAGTATCATGAAACTTTCACCTCTGAGTGAAACACAATAATAATAAAGAGCAAAAAATAACAATCATTCTTTCTAGAAGTTATTTTTTAAAGGTTTATTTGAATAGTTTTTATTGTTTTAAGACTAGTGTGATTAAATCTGAACACGTATTTTATCATTATATTGTTATTATTGTTATTACGGTGTATTTGTGCAGCACTTTAGAAACTTAGTCCACTTTTAATCCAGATTTAGTCCAGTTTTAGTCCAGTTTTAGTCCTGGTTTAGTCCAGGTTTAATCCAGGTTTAGTCCAGGTTTTGGTCCAGTTTTGGTGCAGTTATACTCCTAATGTTCGCCCAATTTAGTCCAGTTTTAGTCTTAGTTTAGTCCACTTTTAATCCAGATTTTAGTCCAGTTATAGTCCTTGGTTTAGTCCTGGTTTAGTCCACTTTTAGTCCAGTTTTGGTGCAGTTTTGGCACAGTTTTGGTGCAGTTATAGTCTTAATGTTCACCCAATTTAGTCCAGTTTTAGTCTTAGTTTAGTCCACTTTTAATCCACACTTAGTCCAGTTATAGTCCACTTTTAGCACAGTTTTAGTCCAGTTTTAGTCCTGGTTTAGTTCACTTTTAGTCCAGTTTTGGTGCAGTTTTGGTGCAGTTATAGTCTTAATGTTCACCCAAGTTAGTCCAGTTTTAGTCTTAGTTTAGTCCACTTTTAATCCAAGTTTAGTCCAGTTTTAGTTCCCGTTTTAGTCCGCTTTTAATTCAGTTTTACTCTAGTTATAGTCCAGTTGTAGTCCACTTTTAGTCCAGTTTTAGCGCAGTTATAGTTCTGATGTAGACCCAGTTTAGTCCAGTTTTAGTCCTGGTTTAGTCCAGGTTTAGTCCTAGTTTAGTCCTGGTTTAGTCCACTTTTAGCACAGTTATATTCCTGATTTAGACCCAGTTTAGTCCAGTTTTAGTCTTGGTTTAGTCCACTTTAATCCATCTTTATTCCACTTTTAGTCCACTTTTAGTCGTGGTTTAGTCCAGTTTTGGTGCAGTTGTAGTCCTAATGTTCACCCAGTTTAGTCCAGTTTTAGTCTTAGTTTAGTCCACTTTTAATCCAGAACTTACTCCTGGTTTTGTCCCGTTTAGTTTATCCCGTCTCTTGTCTCATAAATTTCAAAGAATTGAATAATTTATTATTATATATATTTTTTTTAATTTTTTTTTTTTCTTTTTTTTTTTGGTCAGAGGCTCTAAAGTTTTTTTTTTTTTCGGGACAGTTTTGAGAGCGTTTGCCGTGTTTCCTTTTTAGTCTTTTCCAATAATTTCTTAAATTAGCTCCAACTTTTGACAATTTTCTAAAAGTTTCTGTAATCTGTCCACCTTCTTTTTTCTTCCTCATCAAAAATATAACTGTGTATTATCCTAAAATTCCGCATTTATTGTGAAAAATGTTAATGTTTTGTGTGTTTGTTTCAGGACCCTGCTGGGATCTTCGAGCTGGTGGAGGTGGTTGGAAATGGAACATACGGACAAGTTCATAAGGTCAGAGCAAAAGTCCAGACCAATGATACACTTTGTGCTGAGAGCTGATTGGCTGAGAGGGTTTTGAGCTGAGAGCTGATTGGCTGAGAGGGTTTTGAGCTGAGAGCTGATTGGCTGAGAGGGTTTTGAGCTGAGAGCTGATTGGCTGAGAGTGTTTGAGCTGAGAGCTGATTGGCTGTGAGGGTTTTGAGCTGAGAGCTGATTGGCTGAGAGTGTTTTGAGCTGAGAGCTGATTGGCTGAGAGGATTTTGTACTGAAGAACTATTCTGTCTCGTTTTCTTGAGGTGTAGCTTGTACGATTCCTTGAAAATAGAAAGTTAAAACCGTACTTCTGAACATTCTTCATAGAGATATACGTTTAATGCCATACTATGGAACAACATTTCCATGGAAACAAGCAGCTGATACCCAATATCAACCGATATCTTAGCTTTGTAACTGCACTAAAAGTGGACTAAAAGTGCACTGAAACTGCACTAAAACTGCACTGAAACTGGACTAAAACTGCACTGAAACTGCACTAAAACTGCACTGAAACTGGACTAAAACTGCACTGAAACTGGACTAAACCAGAACTATCACAGCGCTAAAAGTGGATTAAACCAGGACTAAACCAGGACTAAAATTGGACTATAACTGCACTAAAAATGGACTAAAACTGGACTAAACAATGACTAAAACTGGACTAAACAATGACTAAAACTGGACTATAACTGCACTAAAAATGGACTAAAACTGGACTAAACAATGACTAAAACTGGACTAAAAAATGACTAAAACTGGACTATAACTGCACTAAAACTGGACTAAAACTGGACTAAACAATGACTAAAACTGGACTATAACTGCACTAAAACTGGACTAAAACTGGACTAAACAATGACTAAAACTGGACTATAACTGCACTAAAAATGGACTAAAACTGGACTAAACAATGACTAAAACTGGACTAAACAATGACTAAAATTGGACTATAACTGCACTAAAAATGGACTAAAACTGGACTAAACAATGACTAAAACTGGACTAAAAAATGACTAAAACTGGACTAAAACTGCACTAAAACTGGACTAAACAATGACTAAAACTGGACTATAACTGCACTAAAAATGGACTAAAACTGGACTATAACTGCACTAAAACTGGACTAAACAATGACTAAAACTGGAGTATAGCTGCGCTAAAACTGGACTAAAACTGGACTAAAACTGGACTAAAACTGGACTATAACTGCACTAAAAATGGACTAAAACTGGACTAAAAAATGACTAAAACTGGACTATAACTGCACTAAAACTGGACTAAACAATGACTAAAACTGGAGTATAGCTGCGCTAAAACTGGACTAAAACTGGACTAAAACTGGACTATAACTGCACTAAAAATGGACTAAAACTGGACTAAAAAATGACTAAAACTGGACTATAACTGCACTAAAACTGGACTAAACAATGACTAAAACTGGAGTATGCTGAAAACTGCTAAAACTGGACTAAAACTGGACTAAAACTGGACTAAAACTGACTAAAACTGGACTAAACAATGACTAAAACTGGACTAAAAAATGACTAAAACTGGACTATAACTGCACTAAAACTGGACTAAAACTGGACTAAACAATGACTAAAACTGGACTATAACTGCACTAAAAATGGACTAAAACTGGACTAAACAATTACTAAAACTGGACTATAACTGCACTAAAACTGGACTAAACAATGACTATAACTGCACTAAAACTGGACTAAAACTGGACTAAACAATGACTAAAACTGGAGTATAACTGTGCTAAAACTGGACTAAAACTGGACTAAACAATGACTAAAACTGGAGTATAACTGTGCTAAAACTGGACTAAAACTGGACTAAACAATGACTAAAACTGGAGTATAACTGTGCTAAAACTGGACTAAAACTGGACTAAACAATGACTAAAACTGGAGTATAACTGCACTAAAACTGGACTAAAACTGGACTAAACAATGACTAAAACTGGACTAAACAATGACTAAAACTGGAGTATAACTGTGCTAAAACTGGACTAAAACTGGACTAAACAATGACTAAAACTGGAGTATAACTGCACTAAAAATGGACTAAAACTGGACTAAACCAGGACTAAACCAGGACTATATGGAGACCAAACCAGAGCAAGTTCCAGGTCAGATCTGTGGAGAGGCGACCCCACTCACGGTCAAAACGTCTATTTATTTTTTTTATTTTATTTTTTTTAGATATTTTTGAGCTGTAAAACCACCTGTAATTGAATAAACGTTAAGTAGTGCTGTTTATTGTCACACTGCGGAACATTCCAGACAGAGCGGTGACGTATCCATAGAAACAATGCACCTTTAAGAAACCACAGAGCGGCTTTGTATAAATAAACGTTTAAACATTCTGAGACATTAAATTGATATAAATGACCAACCTGGATATCGACTGAACCGATATCTGACGCACCAGATTTTACGGTATCGGCATCAATATTCGATATCTGTGCATCCTGAATGAAAAAAACAAAACAAAAACATGTTAATTTGTCTTTTTTGGGTTAAAAAGTTACATTCTGTGGCTTTAACCTAAAAGTGTACTGTTTTTTTGCGACGGCGCGCTGGGTCCTAAGACAAAAACAGTACAAAAAAAAGGAAATAGAGCCGATATTTTTATTTCAGTGACTCCACAATGTGACGTTTGGGGTCAAGTCCTTCTTCAGACATGAAAGGAACCGCTCCTCTTATAAATAGGCCCGGGTCCCGTCCCCTGACTCACCACGTGACCCAATAAAAGAAAACGTTTTTGACTCCAGTTGCTGAATAGAATCTTTAGAACGAAACAGGTGTTCGCTCTGTTTCAAAGTGGTGTTTAGTTTACCACAACTAGAAGTATTTACTGTATTTTTTGGAGTTTAAAGGTTGTATAGAGGATTTTTTTAAGGAAAGAGAAATCCAGCGACAGTCCTTGACACCACCTTCCTCCTCCACATTTCCCTCTAGAAATAATTTAGAGGCCGACACCTCAGTTTTTAGACCCTTTGTCTGCTTCAGTCGCACAGTCACTGAAAGGAATCTCCAAGAATCACCTCAGTTCGCTCTTCGCTCCTTTTCTCCTTCTCTTCGTCTTTCAGCGACCTCAAAAAACGACTTTCTTTTGCGGCGAACTGGTGGTCGATTCTCGTCCGACATCGCGACAAACTTTATGCGAACTGCGAGAGAGCCACAATTAGAAAAAGCCTCTAAGAACCGCTGCATAGTTACCTTAGAAACGTAGGGAGTTTGATTGACGACCTAACAGCCAATAGAAAATGAGGCAGCCTCGTTTTCTATTGGCTGATGTTTATCTGGCCTCAACACGTCCACAGTTGATAGATTTTCTTTCTTTTTTTTTTTTTTTTTGGTCATCATAATTACAAAGCTGCTGCGTCTCTGTAATGGTATTTTAAACTTTCATTGACAATTTGAAACAAACAAAAAATCCTCCATACAACCTTTAAGTCGCACCAGCCAAAAAATGTGTAATAAAGAAGAAAAAACATATGTAAGTCGCACTTTTTGTGGGGAATTTATTAAAGTCAAGTTGTATTAATAACAATAGAAGAGAGAAGAACAGACTGTCAACGTCACATATGAACAGTGTTGGGAAGGTGACTTTTAAAATGTAATCCCCTACAGATTACAGATTACACACACCAAAATGTAGTTTGTAACGGAATCCATTACATTACTTAAAGTGAGTAATGTAATCTGATTACTTTGGATTACTTGATTTGCTGTAGAGAAACAAAGACGAGGAAATCTTCACATAAGAAGTTTTGTCTGATAAAAGAAAATAAAAAGTCCAGACTTTACTGAACCAAATTAAAAATATTATTGATAGAAGAAGAAGAAACACGTCCACACAGCAGGATTTAGTCCTGTTAAATCCTGTTTTAGTCCTGGTTTAGACCTGGTTTTAGTCCTGGTTTAGACCTGGTTTTAGTCCTGGTTTAGATCTAGTTTAGACCTGGTTTTAGTCCTGGTTTAGACCTGGTTTTAGTCCTGATTTAGACCTGGTTTTAGTCCTGGTTTAGACTTGGTTTTAGTCCTGGTTTAGATCTAGTTTAGACCTGGTTTTAGTCCTGGTTTAGACCTGGTTTTAGTCCTGGTTTAGACCTGGTTTTAGTCCTGGTTTAGACTTGGTTTAGTCCTGGTTTAGACCTGGTTTTAGTCCTGGTTTAGACCTGGTTTTAGTCCTGGTTTAGACCTGGTTTTAGTCCTGGTTTAGACTTGGTTTTAGTCCTGGTTTAGATCTAGTTTAGACCTGGTTTTAGTCCTGTTTTAGTCCTGGTTTAGACCTGGTTTTAGTCCTGGTTTAGACTGGTTTTAGTCCTGGTTTAGATCTAGTTTAGACCTGGTTTTAGTCCTGGTTTAGACCTGGTTTTAGTCCTGGTTTAGATCTAGTTTAGACCTGGTTTTAGTCCTGGTTTAGACCTGGTTTTAGTCCTGTTTAGACCTGGTTTTAGTCCTGGTTTAGACTTGGTTTTAGTCCTGTTTAGATCTAGTTTAGACCCTGGTTTTAGTCCTGGTTTAGACCTGGTTTTTAGTCCTGGTTTAGACCTGGTTTTAGTCCTGGTTTAGACTTGGTTTTAGTCCTGGTTTAGATCTAGTTTAGACCTGGTTTTAGTCCTGGTTTAGACCTGGTTTTTAGTCCTGGACCTGTTTTAGTCCTGGTTTAGACTTGGTTTAGTCCTGTTTAGATCTAGTTTAGACCTGGTTTAGTCCTGGTTTTAGACCTGGTTTTAGTCCTGGTTTAGACCTGGTTTTAGTCCCTGGTTTAGACTTGGTTTAGTCCTGGTTTGATTTTTAGTCCTGGTTTAGTCCTGGTTTAGACCTGGTTTGACCTAGTTTGACCTGGATTTAGACCTGGTTTAGATGTGATTTTAGTCCTGGTTTAGTCCTAGTTTAGACCTGGTTTGGCCTGGTTTTAGTTCTGGTTTTAGACCTGGTTTTAGTCCTGGTTTTAGT